ACAACTTGCTAACTACTCAGCTTAACTTTAGCTTCTGTGTTCCTGAAGGTATTTTCAAGTGGGGTGTTCTTGGTGATTTTTAGTCAAGAGCTCTGAATTTGTAATTTCGTGTCATTTAGCAATAGCATTCCAGAGTTTTTAGATTAGTACTTAAAGATGACAGATACAGTAAGCTTCTGAAGTTGTAACACAGGATTTGAGGCTTCTTTTTTTAAAAAAATTGTGATAGGAGGGGGAGTAGAGGGGACTAATAACAGAAAATGACTACTGGAAAATTCCATTCTGTCTGGTGGAAACTAAATTTCACAACGATTATTTTCATTGGGCTTGAAATTTAATTTTACTTCAGTATAATGGAAACTGAGATACTTTAAGTGAATATAACTATTTCTATATTGACTGAAAGAAAACTCTGTAGTGTGTCCTTTCAGATGTTTAGAGTGCTTTGTGTTTTAATTTCATAAAATACGACTTTTTCAGGTGAAACTTGGAAGGTACTGGCATCTGAGGAGAGAGTGCCTGTTCTTTGCAGGAAGCAAGCAACCTGTTGCATGTACAGTGATACTAAAAAGGAAGTTCAGCCTTGTTTTTACTGAGTTTTTCCCAGACCAATGACCAAGTCCATTTGAGACCCTTGGAGACTTTAGTTTTAATACAACTTAGGTTAAAAAAAAAAAAATCTTGTTTATATCTTAATATTTTTTTTCTTCTTTCTTACAGTTTGATCTGATACCAAAATTAAGTGCTTTAAAAAAAAAACCTTGTTTGGGGTGTTGTTCCTGAGTCTATGGCTTGAAAATATAATTCTTCTGAATGAGGTGGTGTGAGTTTGAGAAGGTTTTATTGGCTTTGCATCTAAGTGGAAAATAACCTGTTTCCTAATTGCAGCATAATAAAATGTCGCTTGTTAAATCAGTACTAAAAGCTGATTTATTTTTCCAGTAGTGATGGAGTGCTAATGGTTTAATTTATTGAAATGTAACTGAGAGGATAATTCTATTGAATCCCCTTGTTTCTCGATAGGATCTGTGGCCAGGGTTGTCTATAGCTAGTTTGGTATCTCCACTAGCATTTTGAGCAGCTGTGGATGCCCCATCCCTGGATGTCTTCAAAGCCAGGCTGGACAAGGCTTGGAGCAACCTGGTCTAGTGGAAGGTGTCCCTGCCCATGGCAGGGGGGTTGGAACTAGATGGGCTTTAAGGTTCCTTCCAACCCAAACCATTCTGTGATTCTGTGATCATAAATTTCATTATGATGTTATATAGCCTTGTTATCCATCCATCCTCAGACGTTGAGTCTTCTGGATAGCTTCATTAAATTTGATAAAGTGGCTAGAGTTCTGAAAGATAAGAAATCCTGAATGCTTTCTGGAAATGGGAAGCTGGGTGAATGCAGGAGCGAGACGTTAATTCCATGCGTGAGCTGTTGTGGAAGCTCAGCAGTGGCTTGTTGGCCCGCAGTTACCAAGGTACAGCAGCGCTGCCCCTGTCCCATGGGGTGAGTCTTTTCCAGGGACAGGTAAAGGGATGTTAGACAGGAAGCTAACAGGGTTCTTGGCTCGGAAGGAAGGCGGTGTTATAGGATGCATAGACTACATGTAGGTAGGGTAGGTGGCAGATGGCTGAATTATTCAGGTGAGAGAATGCATGGTGGTGTGGTTTTAATCCCAGCCAGCAACAAAGCACCACCCAGCTGCTGGCTCACCTCCCTCCCCCCTCCTCCAGTGGAGAGGAGAACTGGAGGAAAAGGCAAGGAAACTCATAGGCTGAGATAAGAACAATTTAATAATTGAATAGAAATTAATAATACTACTGATACTACTAATTAATTTACTTTCATTACATATTAAATAAAATAATACAATTGTTGACTATCTGCCAACTGATGCCCATCCAGGTCCTGAGCAGTGAGAGCCAGAGATCGATCGCACCGGAGTCAGAGCGAGCCGCACGAGTGAGTGAGAGGCAGAGACAACCAGCCTCGCCCCCAATCCACCCCCAGCTTACATACTGAGTAGGACAGTTTAAGGCATGAAATGTCCCTTTGGTCAGTTGGGGTCAGCTGTCCAGGCTGTGTCCAGCCTATTGTAGTGAAAAAGTGGGGGACACAGGGCAGGATCAGAAG